CCCTCCCCGCCCCCGCCCCTCCTGTAGCCCATGTTTGATCACAGGACGATGACACCAGACGGTCTCCTGCCTCGCTGCTTCAAAAATCTACTTATTGCAAAATTGATACACACACTGCTGCGAAACTGCATTTAAATGAAACGTATTACAATAAAAAATCGATTGATGATTCGTGAATCCACCTTAAAAACGCCGATCTCGAAACAAGTAAATTGCTCTTGGTATACCAGATGAGACGTCCATAATCTCGTTTCTGACGCCATAAGACCAAATGATCTCAGCTGCAGAGTGCAACCTTTGCCCTTATTTCGCGTGCGAAGAGAAGAGTTGTTATTCAAAATTGAACCGTTTAGGTTTCGTGTCAGTAAGTTTTTGCACAGTGGCCGCCTGGCCAGCACCGCCCACCTGCCGGTCCGTCCTGCCCCCGGGGGCTCAGGGCGCCCTTGCTGTGCTCCAACGCCAGCATGACGACGCGCCGGCGGCTCCTGACAGGTAGGCCGCCCGCGGGGAGGGGAGGGGGAGGAGGAGGGGAGGCCGTCCAAGTGCGCAGCGGCCACCGGCGCCACCGGCCGACACTGCTGGGCCCGCCGGTAAACATTAAGTTTACCGAGCGGTGACACACTGGAGCGGCAGCACCAGCAGCAGCGCGCCGCCCACCGAGAGCACCCTCTTTGTGTAGCCCCGGGCCCGGCCGCGGGCGAGCGGCTGGAGCGGGGAGGACACAATAATTACAACCCCCAACCTGGACTCTGAGCTCGCCGCTCGGCTCGCCGTCACATCCGGTCCTCGGGCTACGGGGCGCAGAGACTGTGTAACTTCGTTACGCAGAACATCATCACCCGGCGGAATGCTCACCTGGCGCTGGGAGCGGCGGCGGGAGCGGCGTCTCCATGGCGGCGTCCTGGCCTGGTCGCCCGCCGGACTCCGCTCGGCCTGGCGCCCGGGGCGAGGCCGGGGAGGCCGCGGCGATCGGTGACCCGTCCCGGTCCCGGTGTGATCACCACCTTTGTCGGCAAAGGCGAGAGAGACCTTGCTGATCATCTTCATGTAGCACCGCTCCCCAGCCCCGCTCTACTGCTAGGCTAGGGAGCAGGGAGCGACACAGTGCCAAGCGCGCTGCGCCGCGCTGGCCGCGCTATTCGCGACAACGCCAACGGAGCCGGGCTGGAGGCAGGGGTGGGGTCGCATTCTGCACAACGAGTGCGTCTTGAAATAAGAAAGTTTCTACACCGACGACACAGGCTGCATTCTGCAAATGGAAAGGCAAAGCCAAGCAGGAGAGTTGTGTCTGGCGAGGTGCTGATGTAGCTCCCGGAGTCCCCACACCACTGCTCACTTACGTCCTCGCCCCGCCCCGCCGCGCCCCGCCGCTCGGCCCTTCCGACCGGAAAGCGATTGTCATTTCCTCGTCGCACCGGCGGCGGGAGGGCGCCCTGCGCAGGGCGGGGGCAGCAGTCGGGCGTCATCACCGGCCAGACGATCTCTTATGGATGGAGGCAGCGCCGGGGGAGGAGGGCGGAGGGAGGGGAGGAGGGGGTAAATGTGCCGGCCAGCTTGGCGCAGCTGCGAGCGATGAGCATGATGGTGTGGGGCTGGAGGGGCAAGGTAATCAGCCAGCGGCCCCCGGCTGCTCAGGGGGGGCCGGGGCGCGGTGCTTGCCGAGGTCGTGCTCGCCGGGGTCGTGCCCGCGGCCGTGCCGTACCCTGGCGCCGTGGTGCACTGCGGGGACCTTGCCGTCTGTACACGTGGCCTCGCCTTGCCTCAGGTGGCGCTGCTGGGTGTGGGGCGCTGCGCTGCCGGGGCGCCGAAGGGCGCCGCCGTAGCAGCGAGGGCACGGGGGACCTCTAAAACAATGAGATTCCGAGAGACGTGACGAGTGTCGAAGAGCACCGCTATACCCCTGCCTCCCTCGCGCCCGCCTCCCCCACCGCCCCCTGCCCTCTCCGCTCTCGCCTGCTCGCTCCCTTCATTTCCAACCCGGCTGCCGATCCGAAGCACCCCCCTCCCTCCCCACCGCTCAGCTCCAAAGCGAAGCGCTGCTCCTCCATTTGAATTTCAAAAATTTCACGTGGAACGAGGTGATGACAGTGTGCCCGCCCCCGCCCCCTCCGCCGGCTTTAGATCTCCCGTACTTTTTATTCCGCCGCGACGATTGAGACTCGCTGGCCTCTCTGGGCCTGACCCCACATCCACTTTGGGAAATGGGTCGCCCGGGTCAGGAGAGCGCGGTGCCCGGGGTCTGGTCTAGGGTCTGCAGAGCCTGTCCAAAAGTTTTACCCCGCTGGGTCACGGTTCGGGCGGGACGACGGCCCGCCCTCCATCGCCAATGATCGGACACGGCCGTCTAAATGACGTGCTCCGGGTGCAGAGGGGCTGAGCGGGCGAAGTGTGCCCGGTCCAGACTCATCAAGTAGACTCGCCCCCCCCCCCACTCGAAATTTCAAAAATAAAACAAGGAGCCTCCTACTCGTTACCGCCAGCTCAATTTCATGGTAGCTCGCCCTCCCCACTTCGTCTACCCCCTCTGTGATCCCCAAACAGCACCACAACTTTCCGAATCATCCCTCTCCCTCGCCCCGCATTCTTATCACAAACACTGCCTGCTTTGTCTCTACAAATATTCCAAATAAATTTCGGATATTAATTGTATCCGAGTGGGTGAGGGAGAGTGCGGCGGTGATGATTAGCCGGGCCAGCAGAGGAAGAGGACCCGAGAGGACTCGGCAGAGCAGTCGGCCTCCCGTCCCCTCCAGCGCGACTATGAAAAAATATTAACTGCGGGGTGAGGCTGTGTCAGCTGCAAGCAGCGGCGCGGCAGTTAGCTAGAGGAGAGGAGGGAGGGGGGAGGGGTCGCAAACTGGCTTCACGTCAAGGAGGGCGAAAAGCGCCATGTCACTGACAACCCACCACCGCTCTTCGCCCCCCACCCCGACCCCCTCTCTCACTATCTCTTTCTACCCTCCTCTCCCAGTCTTTCCAACCCTCACAGACGCAGGGCGCTTCACGGAATTCCCTTCCCAGTATCGGTCTTTTTCACACTTCGCACGCGCGCGCCCTCCCGTCTCGACTAAACTTTTGGGTGCCTGCGGAACGCGTTTGGGCGAGCGGAGCAGGGCGCAGGAGGAAAGGGGGCGGGGGCGGGGGCGTTGGCGCGGGCTTGTCAGTCGAGCTGGAGCAGCAGCAGCAGCAGCCCGCGCGCTCGTTAGAGCTGAACTCCCCGGCGGGGGTTGGCAACCCACTGCACGCCCCTGGAGGGTAGGCAAGATGCGTGGCGTGCGCTCACACACACACACGCGCGCGCGCGCACACACAGACAAACGCGCAGCTCCTCACACATGAGATCAGCACGCACGTGTGCACCTAACCTTACACTAGTGCGAGGCCTAGCGGGGCCACTCCGGGGCTTGGCGGCGCGGCGATGGCTTGCGCGCGCGAGCTGCTCGTGCCGGTAGGCGGGAGTAGGCGGGGGCCCCCGGTGGGGCCTGGCCTGCTGGGGTGCGACTGCGGCGGCGCCCCGCGTCCGCAGACTGACCTGAAGAAACACTACAAGTCCCGGCCGCCCGGTGTCGTGGTGTGGGGCTGCCACCACCGCTGCTGCTGCTGCAGCCCCTGCTGTTGCTGCCGCTGCTCCTGCTGCAGGGGTGGCGCACGCTGACACACGCTGATGCCGCAGTAAGTAATGAGGTGAACGCGGCTCAGGAAATGAAGCGGCGACATCTGATTAGCATTGTTCTGACTATGGTACGAGATCCGGGGGGCTGCCGCTAGGGCAGACGCAGAGGCGCAATCTCTGACAATCCATAGCAGAGGCACATCATTGTGCCCTACGGGTTGAGAGGGATGGGGAAGAAGTCGGGGGGCTCATCCATAGGATGTTCTGCTGAATGTTCAGTGCATCACTCGGAAAACTTCTGGTGCTCGCCGCACGTGAGTTTATCCCGCACTGTTTTTTGTCGGCCCAAGCAGATAACAAAGCTGTGACAGCCATCCTTCATGTCCCGTGTCCTCCCCACCAGTGGCCTGCCGGTCCGACCCCCCGGGCCCGGGCCCCCCTGCTGCTGGAGGCTGCCCGGCGCGGGCCCCGCGGAGCGGCAGAGACCAGCGCAGTTCTACAGGAAATGAGTTCCAGGCCGTAGCAGCAGGGCGTGGCCGCTGGGTGCGGAGCGGAGCATGGCGCAGCGCAGCCTCTCCCCAGCGAAGCAGACTACTCTGCGTGCTCTGCCACAGCACGATTGTGAGCACGGTGCAACTGCAAATGTGCAAATAGGGTTCTACTGGCAGAGAATCGGAACCTAAAGTAGAAAGGCATGACTGTCCGATCTGAACCTCCTGTACACTAATTGGTCAACGATGATGGCGGACGTCGGTGTGAAATGAGGGGGCAATAACTCCGAATTCAAGTGTATACCGGGTGAGTCAGAGAAGACGCAGGTGTGGGCGGGTTTACCCACCCGCTCTGCCCGTAAGGCACCATTGGGTAGGCAAACCCGCCCGCACCTGCGTCTTCTCTGAATCACCCGGTACATGATTCCCGGAATCCACGATGCCCGTTGAATCCCATTGATTCCCATCGTGATTCTCATTGATTTTCCGTTGCTTTCAGTGGTGATTATCATAAATTCCCGCTTATTGCCGGTGATTCCCGGGCTGGTGTGTACACATGATTCCCAGAGTTATTGCCCCCTCGGTGTGAAACATATCGAGCAGTACGATAGCTTTATGTGGGTTTGCCTACTCGCTACAACCATAGTTATCACACAGTCGCCGTGGTCCCTAGCCCTAGGTTAGGCAAAGCCGCAACACTGCTGTGTCGTGGCCCTGTCACACGGTAGAGGAATGATGGAGAGGGGAGACTGTTCCGCAGCCCTCAAACCTCAAACTACATCCACTTCCTGGAGATGGGTGAAAAGCTGATGGTAGATCCAGAAATCAGCGTAGATTGTTGCTGGGTTCAAAATTTGAGGAACATTTAACGACACGACCATTGACAATTTCTTTGATTCGTTCCCCCGCCGGCCCCGGGCAAGCCCCGCCCCGACCCAATTTTGTTTTGTGCAGGCGCCTAGCACCCCCTCTCTTCCCTCCCTCTCTCCTCGAGACGGACCACGGGAGTGCACGACAAAATTTGGTGCATGCACAGACGCCGAGACCTCAGCTTAATGCTTCACGTTTTGCGCTCAACACGTTTTCTGCGGCGTGACCACTGTGTGGTCACTCCGCCCGTGTTAAATCATTGGCATCAATTGTGTCAAGAAGTGGTAATGACACCCCCGGACACCACGTAGGTAAAGTAGGTATAGGCAAAATATTCAGCCTTTGAAGTGAATTGTGCCTCCTGAATATTTCGCCGCCACCCTTCTTATTTGTCTCTCCCGCCACGCCCACGCCACACCGCTACAACGCCAATTGGGTCGAAACTAATCAAAATAAATGAAAAAAGTTTTGGGATAACAAAACGCTGTGTGCGCCCCGCGCGCCGGCCTGCTGCCGCCCGGTCCGGCGCACCCCCTCCCCTCTGCTCTCTGACCCGGTCTTCTCCCTCCGTGACGCCCTGACGTCACCCAGGGCCAGCAGCGCCCCCCTCCCTCCTCCCCGCCTCCTTCACCTTCCGCGTACTCAACTTCAAGAAGCCGACCGGCTCGGCGAAATATTCATTCGCGCCGCGCAATGTAATCTTCATCAGCCACCCCTGAACAGGGGCCGGGCCTCGGGCCGGGCGAGAGGGATGGGCAGCGAAAGGTGAGCTCCACAGCGAACTGGCGCGAGGAATCCTCGGGGGAGTAACCCCTGCTCTAAATCAGAGCGACCTAAAGGGGTGAACACAGGCGCCCCTAAGTGCCCCCCCCCCCCCCGCTCGCCATTCAAGAGCCTTCGGAATTAAAGGTGACCTTGGCTCTCGGCTTTTTATGGGCAAAGAACGCCGCCTAAAATTAAGCGGGTATTGGGTACTAAAAGCAATGACGGGAGAAATAAGCACAAAGTAAACGAACGCAGAGTATCAAATCATATTTTAGGGCGCACCAAAAAAGGCTTGGTAATATATAAATATGCGCACGGCTCTACCGGGCTGAAATATATATATATTGTAACGAAATGGGGCGCGTCGCGAGATGTAGGGCGTCGTCATCGCTCCGGCCTGTCGCTCACCACCGGCGGGGCGCGGCGAGCTGACGGATGGCTGGGGGCGGCGTACTTTCCTGCTTCGAGAAGCAGAACGTCATCACCATGATCATGATGAGGAGAGTAGCTGGGGCTGGGAAAGGGCGAAAAAAAGAAGGGGGAGCTGGAGGGAGGTATGCTCGAAGGGGTTAAGTCTCCCACCCGTAGCCCCGCCCCGCCTCCAGCCTGGATATTACGCGATCACAATTTCACGTTCAATTTGTCAGGGTAATTGCGAGGCTGTGGGGGTCCCTCCCGGAGGGGCGGGCGGGTGCGGGAGGTGAAGCCCTCATGGCCACATTGCCCCCCCCCCCCCCCCCGACCCAACCGTCACAGGGTATAGACGTTGTCATGAGCATCATGCCGACCAAGGCATGGGCGAGAGACGCAATAAGTCAAATGTTACGTTTCAAAAAGTGACATACCAGGTGGCTGCCCCGAGCACTTCTTTAGTTGTAAAGAAAAACCCTTACGCACGAGTGCGAGCGGGTTGCCTTACTTACTCGGCCCGTAAGGCGCCGTGGACAGGGGCGACAGGCAAGCCCGCCTGCACTCGTGCTCGCATGCGTGCGGTACCGTACAAATACAGAAGTGCACGGGGTTAATCAGTCACCTGGTATGTATTTTCTTTTACCTCGTGCAAAGAGAGATGACGGTCATAAACATTGATTATATAGCCCTGAAAATACGCGCCCCAAGTCGTCAACCTACTCGTTGCGTGTGTGTGTGTGTGTGTGTGTGTGTGTGTGTGTGTGTGTGTGTGTGTGTGTGTGTGTGTGTTTGCTCCTCTGCAGCTCGGCCGGCCCGGTAGGTACCTCAGATAAGGTCCTTATCTCGGTCTGTCCGTGGCCGCCCAGCCCAAGGTGTAGCGCGGCGTGGCGCGGCTCGGCGAAGACCACCGTGTCGAGGTGATGGTGTGGTCCTCAGTCACCCTCGGACCGACCAGCAGGTAGCAGTGCCTCGACAGCCAGCCGGGGCGGACCGCAACGGCCCCACGCCCATCGTCACCGAGTCCGTGATGGCGTCGAGAGCCGCCATGTGGAGGAGGCCAGTGGTCGCAGAGAGCAGCTGCTCCAGCCCGGGCCCCGTCCCCGCCAGCCCCGCCAGCCCCACCAGCCTCTCCAGCGCGCCTAGCAGGCTCGTGGCAGCCGCCGGTGAGTTTGGGGGGCGTTGCGTGTTCTGTGGGCTCTCCTCTCGCCGTTGACGTGACCTCTGACCCCTGACCACTGCAGGAGGGACGCGCTGCGGGACCCGGGAGCTGACGCTGTCCCACGAGCTGACGGTGCGCGGCGCCGCGCTCGCCTCGCCGCCGTACTTGTCGGTGTGGTTCCGGCACCCGCAGGGCGACCCCGAGCGCTGGTGGCGGATGGCCGTGCGCCCCGAGGACGACGGCGGCGGCTGGACGCTGGCGCTGCAGCTCGCCTCCACGGACGAGCTCGGCTCCCTGTACCGCCGCCGCCCGCGCTGCTTGTCGCCCGGCGAGGCCTTCGGCATGGAGGCCGCGCAGACCAGCTACATCCTCAAGACCGTCGACACCAAGCTGGTCTTTAACCGGGGCTACCTCGCCCCCAGCCTCGGACTGGAGCGCTTCCAGACACACCGCCCCACCGCCTTGCTTAACAACAACTTCGCCATCCTCGGCTACCTGGACACGCTCCAGCCCCTGAGCGTCTGCGACCTCGGCACCGGCCTCCTCAACGAAGTCAGGTCCTCGTCGGCCGAAGACAGGGCCTTGTGCATCCAGGTGTCCTTCACCGTCGAGTTCCACGAGAGCGACGCGACAAGCTAACAGACATGTCAAAGTGCACTTTGTTGTGTTATTTTTACTGCCATGTGGATTCTGCACTGCGCATGCCCTCGTGGCAAAGTGTCCTCATGCGAAAGACTGTATGTAAGTGCGTGTGTGAGAGTGCGGCGAGTGTGTGTGTGGCTAGACGAGATAGACTGGACCATGGACTGGACAGGTTTTAGTACAAGGCGATGGTTGTATCGGTCAAGTTTAAACCGGCCTGACAATGAGTTGTTCGGACATTGTTTGTGAGAACTTCAAGATAAAAATAAAAACCAAAACGGTTTCCTCAAATTGGGAGCGCGCCGCTCACTCAGCGGCCCACGGCGAGCGCCATGCCACTGCCCGACGAGATGAAAAATTAAAATTAAAGTATTTGTTTGGTTATTTTGAAACGCGAGGAGGCTGATTATTTTCCCTCTCCCTGCTGCTGCCAGTCTGTGGGAATAAGCGATTGGACGCCGAAAGGCAATCGGAGCAGGAAACGTTTTCCATTATAAATTCTTCGGGGCGCGCGGCTCTGCGCGGCGCGGTGGGACGGCGTCTTTGTCTTTATTACTTTCTTATCGCGAACGTGGCGCAGCGTGGCGGAGGGAATGTCCAATATTATTATCGAAGAAACAAAAGAAATGGACCGGATTGGGATATCTTAATAATGCTTTGCTTTGCGATGACGCTGCAGCGCAATGCGACGCCTCGAGATAAACAAATCGGCTAGATAGTAGACGCGCCTGCCGACCGATGGGCGCGCGCAGGCAGGCGCAGGGCGCGGGGATTTATCCCGGCCGAGGTCAGGTTGGGCACCAGCCGCCCTGGACAACAGATAAGCGGGCTGCTGGGCGGGCGGGGGCGGGAGCGGGCTGGAGCGAACTGGAGGCCAGCGCCACGAGGGGAGTCGTCCCAGAGATATATCGCGGGGGCTATCGCTATCCAGACCGCTCGACAGACAGACAGACAGACAGACAGACAGACAGACAGACAGACAGACAGACAGACAGACAGACAGACAGACAGACAGACAGACAGACAGACAGACTGCCGCGCGAAGCTCTCGTTTTCGCGACTCAGCACAAGATGGCCCCCCTGCCGCTGCGCCCGGCCCATGGCCCGGCTGCGCCCGCTGGTGTTGCTGTCGCGATGGCCTTGATAAAGCAGGATTGATAACACAGCGTCCTTAATCAAGACCCCTCCCTGCTGGCGGTGGCCTCTGGCGTAGGGGACTGCCGCGGCGGGGTGCGGGCGAGGGCCGGGTCGTGGGGCACCCCCCTCCCTCCCCGCCCCTTTCAGCCCACTCCTGACAGGCCCCGACCTTGACGATCCACAGTCGTGTCGCGCGGCACCCGAATGTAGGTCAGGTCACCCCCGCGCGCTGGAACCTCTCTCGATTCCTCATACTTCCAGGACTTCCGCTTCCGAGGCGAGGCAAATACGTGATGGTCCCAGCAGCCGTGAGGCGCGGCCTGGCAGCGGGTGCCAAGGCGGGGGCACCCTCTTGTTGTTGTCCCCCCCCCCCCCCGCCCAGGGCCCGGGGCTCCTACTGGTGTTCTGGCGACGCAGCGCCACGACGCTCGTTAGCCGAGATTAACGTCGTGTTTGACGGCTTAGCCTTAGACGACAGCGAAACTAATTGAGAGAAGGGAAGTCCATCTTGCTCGCTCCTCGCCTTTGCGTATTCTTGCTCGCTCCCTTTGCTCGCCTGTCTCTCTCGCACTTGTGGCTCCCGAGTCGTCGCCGCGGCGTCCTCCTCCGCCGAGGCACAAGCAGCGGATCGCTGTCGGGCGCCGCGTCTTCATTTGTGCGCATTAAGACAATTACTTCATTTGTCCCTGTAAAGGCGTCAACTCTTCCCGGGGGTCGCGCGGGGGTGCGTACGCCACGCCGGCCGCGAGACCGAGCCGTCGCGCCCGCCGAGCTGATGAACACCACCGGGCTTGTGCAGCGGCAGCGGCAGCAGCAGCGGCAGCAGCAGCAGCGGCAGCAGCTGCGACCCCTTGCCTCTGAATTAACGCTGCTCTCGCGGGAACCTAGGCGAGTTTACAGGCGTTTGGCGCCCGGCCAGCGCGCTCGCGGGGGTGGGGGGGGGGGGTGGCAGCATCGCGTCACACTGGTGTCACTTATCGTTGCGCTGACGATCCGTTTTGTTTAGAATCCAGCCAATCGGAGGCATCGATGCCAGTCTAAGCCCTGCGATTATTGCTTTAACTTAAACGTATCATCCAACAAATGGCGATGTAGCGTTTTTCGGCTAACGGAGGGAAGAAGAAGAGCGGATAGAACATAAACGTTCCCGATTGGTCGAAAGCTTCCCGCCTCTACGTCACGCCGGTAGTAGGGGTAAGGGGGCTAGGGCAGGAGTATAGTCGCCCTGACGAAAGAACAGTACGGCAACGCGTGGTATTCTTATGGGCAACTGTGTTGTTCTTTCGTCAGTACGAGTATAACCAGGAACCTGCCAACCTGCTTTATGTTCTAACCGCTATAGTTTAACTTCCTCCGGCTGTTCCGAATACGTTAGAACTAGGGCTGCCGACGCCTAAGCGCTGATACGATACGCCAACTAAAAGCTGCTCCTGTTGTTGTTGTTGTTATAGTTCTGGTCGTCGCCGTCGCGTCGTCGTTCGCGCCGCGCTACTCGACAAGTGCCCGCGTCAAGATTCTTAGTAAAAAATAAGTAAAGTGGTGTCAGTGTTTTATTTAGTGAGACTGTTTAACTGCACAAAATGTGTTTTCATACTTCGACGCCTGTCCGCTGCGTATCCCGTTACAAGGGACGAGTTCTGGGACTGTGTATCATGATACATAACCTCAAAATCATCCTGTGCACTAGCAATCTTATTGCCACATCTTTGAATGGATCAAGAACTACCTTCAGTTTGGGAGTGACCGTCTCAAATGGACCAGGAGTCTTACTAAGTTGTTTACCAAGTAAGTTTGTTTGTAATTTTGGCCATTACCGACATAGCTGTCATTATAGATATCTGGGGGAATGACGTACATATTTAAAAAGAGTTTTCAGGGGAATGTAATATTTCTCTTTCTTTTCAATGAACAGAACTAATTCAAAGAAGTTTCTGTTATTGCAACAGGGTGAACCTTTTTTTCTGCCTGTGAGTAAACCATTATGTCTAGACTAATGGTCCTGTTAGCCCTGATCTGAATCCACACTCTTGCAAAACTTAGTAGTGCAGGAAACAACTTTAGTGCCGTTATTTTTTGTCGAGTATGTTTGCTTAAAAATTGTTGGCAATTTACCTGGATGACTTGGTCAACTAATCACTGCCAGAGCCTAAACCTTACACATTAGTTGGGATGCCTCTCTGATTAATCATTAACATTGTGCTGAGAAAACATTAACTGCACTGAATTGAAAAAAGCTCTTTGTTTCAATAAGGGGAGTGGTCTGGTGCAACGGTCCTCTGGGTCATGGGGCTGGCACCCTCCGGTGGCACTCTCGCAGGACCCATTAGGGCATTGTAATGCATCCATTTGTTGCTTGCTAGAGCTAATGGTACTTTAATACGCTTTTTAGTCCAGCCCTCTGGTAATCCGTGGGGATGTATGAGGCAAGTGCGGCGAGGCAGCAGCAGGCGGCGGGGGGTCTCTAGAGGAAGGGGACGCTTGCCCCCCCCCCCCATCCCCTTTCTTTGGCCCAGCATTAGGGAGCCAGCAGGGCACCGGGGTCAAGCCGATGGCGTTTGTTTCAAAGTGCACTACTTGCATATGCCGTCCCCAATGGATTTCTTTCAGAGAAGCAGGGCATTGTCGTTAAAAAGCGTACAAAGTACCACAAAAGTGCGTCAGTCTTTTTAAAAAAATAAATAAAAATAACTTACAACCGAACGAAAAACAAACAGGGCCGGGGGCGCAACTGTGCGCAAGGTCGGTGGTGGTCGCTTTGCTCTGTCGATTATTCTGTTCTTCGTGCATTCGGATATTTTGTCTCTCTATAACGAAGCCTGCACCCGTGGTTCGCGTTGGAGGCGGTCGGAGGACCACTTTCTCGCGCCCGTGCCGCAATATCCGCTGCGAGCCGCAGGCATCCGCACCAAACCAACCCCACCCCGCCAGGCACCGGTGTATAACTTAGCAGCTGTTAATATTTTCAAAACGCCGCCGGCTCGCGCCGGCACGACGCGCATCCAGCGCGCCCGCATTTACATTGCACACATGAATAACTGAATACATTTCAGCGAGAGGCGGGAGGCAGTGACGACAGAGCGTCCTGACCCGGCCTGGGATGAGGTCAGGGAGCGGCACCCTGGCGGCGTCCGGTGGGGTGGGTTGGGCGTGCGGATGGGGCCGGCTTGGGGTAGCTAGCGGTCGGCAGAATGCGTTCTGTTTTGGGAGCCCGATGGGGCCTGGCCACCCGCCACGGTGGCGGGGCGTGGTGGTCGGGCCCGACGGCCCTGCGGAGCGCGCGGAAGGGCACCGGAGGGCTCTCCAAACTCTCTAACTGTGCTCCAGCTCCACATGACGGCCCGGCCTCACTGTGCCGCCTTACTTTGTTGCGCGATGGGCTACCCCCCCCCCCTCCGCCTCTTCCCGCCCTTAACGCCCCCTCCCTCCCTTTCACGTCCTCCTCTTCCTCTCGGCGCTGCAGGCGCTGCACCTTCCTGCCAATAACAAACTCTGCTGTGGTTTTTACTCCTTTCGTCTCCTACACCAACCTCACTCTGATAAAAAAAGATTCTCAACGTTTAGTTTTCGGTGAGAGATACTTCTTTCACTCACTCTAAACAAAAGGTGCGACTCGACACCTTTTAACGACTGCTAATGATTTTAGCTTCTTTTGAGAGGTGTTAACAACTTACCCCCTTTGCACATGCAGTAAAATGCTCAAAAGGTGCAAAGTTTTGGAGCATTGTGACACTATATTGTGTTTGAAATAAAAGGCACTAAGACCTTTGTTTCTCCAGTGTGTAACCTCTCCTCCGAAGGATTTCTGAAAATTGCATGTACCTTTCTCTTAACACGTTCCTTGCAACATGACCACTATGTGGTCATGCCCCCATGTTCAATCATGGGGACCAAAAAAAAATGAGCCGCAGGGGACGTGTTAAGTGTGGGCGAGAGGAGACGTAAAACCCTAACCATAACCGTCTCCCATAGTTACGCGCTAAACCACCAAACTCCCCTCTCTTGCCTCTTTCATAGACACAAATGTGTGATTCGCGATGCTCAAGCCAGCTGTGGCGGTATGATTTCCCTCCGCGCCCCGCCCTTCGGGCCCAGCGCCGCGCAGGGCGGAGGGGGAGCCGAAGTTAGCCGAGCCGTCGTCCCGAAGCCCGCGAGGCGAGGGCCGCGGCGGCTGTGCGGGGTGGGGGCGCCTGGCGCCAGGCACATGCCGAGGGGGGCAGCGCAGCTCCGCGCAGCTCCGCGCAGCTCCCGCCAGTGG